CTTGCTCGCAACTTTGTCAACTACAAAGGCTGCTGTGAAAAGTGGGAGCTGCTGGAGCGGGTGACTCGTCTTTATAAAGAGAAAGACCTTCAACATCTAGGTAAGGAACTGAGCAAACATGGGCCTGTTTCCCAGGTGTTCCCTTTTTATGGACAGTTGCAGAAGGAACTAGAACTTAACATCTGTTTTGTGCAAGGGAGGAGAAAGTGTTACGTATGTTAAGAGTGAAAGTAGCTAAACTTTTATTCACCACTTGTGCTTGTGTAAGAGGAGAGCATTATGGTAGCTCTGGAGAGTGGCTTCCCTCTGTTAGCAGCAAAGGAGAACTCTGCACCCTTCCTCTGTGGCGGATCGTGCAGTCACGGCATCACCCGCTGAACGGCTGATGTGCGACCGCAGAGGGATGAGTGTAAGCTCTGGGTGAGCTCTGATCTCTCGACTCATGGTGACTGGCAAAGTGAGCAGGAAAATGCCACCCGAAAGCAGCCGGGCACTTCAGAGCAGGCATGTGCCTGGGGATGGTGGCTCTTGATCACAAGAGCCATTCCTGCAGTGCACTGCCGGGCCTGCACGCTGAGCAGGGAGGGATGGTGGTGTGCTAGACTTGCAGGTGCCAGTCTGCAATTCTAGGGTTAAAAGAGACACACACTTGTAAATGGTTTCCAAGAGAAATGGATTGGGACGCTTTGATTTCATAGAGGGGTTTCTTTCTCAGTGTTTGTCCAATGTGGCTTTGTAGTCTTAAAAACTAAGCTTTGTCCTCTGGGAACGATAACAAGATTTAAGACAACTGCTTTGGGTTTATGTTCTTCTTTCATTGGATCTTGTGCTTCTGACAGCACTTGCCCTTTTCTCTCGATCCCTGTTGCCTGTCTCGGCTGTGCTCAGCAATATTGGTGAGATTGTGCAACACCAAAGGAACTGAAAGTGTAGTTCTTGGAAGCCAAGCACCGCATCGATTCTGTGTTAAACATTGACACATCACTGTAGGTGGCTGCTGAGCTTTGGGAAGCATTGGCTGTTGTGCAAGCGCAGCAGAAGAGAAAGTTCTCGTCAGTTGAACCTATCCTGATCAGAGCCTCAGCTTTAGCCCCTGCATGGGGATCAGCAAAAGGCAGTTTTGGTTTAAGTGATCTCTCTGCAAGGCTTTTGTCCCCTGTTAATAATACTGCTTGAGAAACATGTTATTTCCCCAGCTCCCCTTATTCTCACCAAATAACTGTCTCTTCTTCTGTTGCAGTTTCTGACACTGATGATCAAACTGGTAAGTGATATTCTTAATCCTAGAACTGTGTGAGTTGAAAAAGACCTTTCAAATCGAGTCCCACTGTTAACCCAGCACTGCCAAAACCGTGTCCCCATGTGCCACATCTACACATCTGTCAATTACCTCCAGGGATGGTGACTCCATCACTTCCCTGTCAGCCTGTTCCAGTGCTTGACAACCCTTTTGGGGAAGACAGTTTTCCTAACATCCAATTTAAACCTCCCCTGGCACAACTTGAGGCCGTTTTCTCTTGTTACTTAGTGAAGAGAGATCCATGTTGCTTCATTGCTAAGAATCTCAGTGGTATTTCTGTTTTCATCGCACAAATGACTCTAAAAGCTACAACTTCCTGCCCCTTGATGGAGCAGATACCTCCACATCAGTTGAGTCAGACACAAGCATTTCTTTTTCAGACCTGCAGTGTGCACAAGTCCATCAGAGAAGCTGGACAAAGCCAACTCGCACACTGCTCAGAGACAACGTACCTGCCTTCTGTTTCCTTGTCTCTTGCCAACCCCGGTCTCTTCTTTACTCAGGTGGCGCCGGGCTCCCGGGCACGGAGGAAAACCTCTGCAAAATCTGCATGGATGCCCCCATTGACTGTGTCCTGCTGGAATGTGGCCACATGGTCACTTGCACCAAGTGCGGGAAGCGGATGAGCGAGTGCCCCATCTGCCGGCAGTATGTGATAAGGGCCGTCCATGTCTTTAAGTCCTAAGCGTGCGGAAGGAAGACTGGGAATGCCTTAAAGCCTCATCTGCTGTGAGAGAAACGGTCGAAATAGCTACTAGTTAGGTCAGAGATTAGCACATGGACCCCACTGGAAGCTGGAGGTGAGGGAAGGATGAAGCCTGAGAAAACTTGTTCTTACCCAAGCCATGCCTGGCTGTGCTCTTCCCATGATAGTGCTTTACACCACAGTGCCTGGACTCCTTGGAGCTCATTGCCAGCAGCAGACACACAAACTTAACCTACGTTCTAGGATAACGTGATCCGTTAGAGGTGGGGAGCCAGGGATGTTTGGCTTCCCACCCCAAAGCTCAGATGCAGAGGCTTCATATTTTCCCCTGACTAGTAAATACAGTGGGATCTCAGTGACCTTTGTTTTGCTGCTTAGGCTCAACGCCCAGCAACAACTTTTCTTTTCAAAGATGAAAGCTTATTGTACTTGTTAATTTTTACCTTTAATTTAATGTTAAACTCCTATGCTTGCAGGACAGGCAGCCAAGCCTCCCCCCTCCACAGCACAATAAACACGTCTAGCCTAGTGCAACGGTGGACAATTGTATGGTTTTATTTGAAGGTGGACTTTATAGTATTGAAAACAGAACAAGAGTGAGGCTCTGGCCCATGGAGCCTGACCTCTGTGGTGGGTTGGTTTGCACACCAGGGAGATCCCTCGGACTTTCAGTTTTAAACCTGAACTCATTTCACTTAAGGAGCTACAAATCGAAGGCTTGAGTCTTTAAGAGGGTTTAGTGAGGCCAAGACACAGCTACAGAGCAGTAAGGGTTCTACTGTTACACAATCATGCTTAAGTACAGGTGACTTTATAGAGAGGAGACATGAAAGAAAGGAAGCTTTATCTCCCTCAAATCATTAGAGATGCTTCCCCCATCCTCCCCTTTGCTCACCCTTACTCCTGTACATGCAGACTGCTTATCAGAGCAATTGATTTTCACTCCTGCGTGTGAGGGTGGACAGGAGGCTCCGGTTTGATTCATGACAAGTGCAAGCCCTCAGGAGCAGCATGTTCATTTGGAAGCCTTGCTAGAGAGAGCTGTAGCTGGCGTATTTCTCCCTGAGTTTCAGAATCTTGATGCCTTAAGTTCTCACCACCATAGGATTGTACACTCATTTTAAGTCATTTGCTGAGTAGCTTCTGCTGCAGGTTCTTTCCCGTCTAGCTTTTCCCTTCATGGGGAGCGATCACTTAGTGTTCAAGCTGCATCCCTGCACAGCTGCCAGCAGAGCAACAGCACAAAACCAAGTGTCCACTTACAGCTCCTGGAGCAGCAGAAGTGCAGTTACAGAAACCATCACCAAAGTCATCTACTGTTGCAGTAAGTGGCAGTGTATGTTAACAGGGAATTAAACTGGTGTCATCTTTAACATGGAGTATTGCATGAGTAGCAACTCGTTTCTCAACTGGCTTGGAGTGGAGGGTCTCTTGAGTGTTAACAAAGCACTTAAGCTGAAGAAATCTGTCAGTTGGTAGCAGAACTGCTGCACTACTGAGCTTTACTGAACTAAGAATTCAGAGTTTTCCCTCTTTCTCTGTTCAGGTTGTTCTTTAGTATTTGGCTTAACAGCTTCCAGCAGGAGATGAGCACTGGTACAGTTCCATGCATCATGTTAAAGAAAGGAAGGGCAGGTAAGCAGTCCCTGTATTTACTCTTCAGGAGGTTCACAGGGCCCTCTCAGAGGTACAGGAATACACACATGAAGTGCTGAACTGCCTCATTCATAAACTCACTGTGAAAATTCATGTTGTCATCCTCAGGGCTGGGGGGAAGCAGGAAGATGAGGATTCCCCTGCAGACAGATGTACCTGGAGAGGGTAGGCTTATTTTCTACAGCAGATAAATCAAATTGTGGATCAATGTTTGAAACCTTAGGAATGAGAAGATTCCCCCCCCCCAACTCTGAAATGTGCTTTCTGAAGGGAGGAGGTTCTGTTTTTGTCTCCTGGCTCCAGTGTTTCCCTTGCAAAAATGATTTTCTACTTATGGCTGAGTTGTTTTTGAAGGAAAATCAAAATGTGGAGGAAACTGATTAAGGATCCAAAGGAATATAATGATCTGAACTAATAAATGATAATATTTATGTGCTTTATGTCCACTGTACATATTCTCCTTGAACTGGCATGTTAAATCCTCTTGGTACGATGATGGTGAAACTTCCTAGTTTTGGTACAGAAGTTTGGTTTATAATTTTATAATAAAGTTGAACTGTGATTTAGTTAACCTTGGTTTCTGACTGTTACCAACAGGCCAGGAGAGAGCAGAGATGCTACAGCTACTTCTGAGCTTCAACCTGGAGAGGCTTGGGAGAGCAGGCGCTTAAATACCAGCAGTAGGAGAGGGACAAGTACAGGAGAGGTTGAAGGAAAGAAGGTAACAAACACACACTGACTTTCAGCAGTGCAGTCTTAATGGTGTGGAGCTTACAAAGGGGAGAGCACCCTTGAGGTTAAAGAAACCAGTAAACTGGTCAACTTGGTTTTCCTTCCATCATGTACACATGCACCCGCCCTGCTCATGCAGTCACGAGTATGTCATGCAGAGTCACACTGGTATTTGCATAACAGTTAAAATGAGCCCATTCCTAAACCCCATCTTCCTTATTTCCTTACTATTCAAGTACTTGCAGTAGTTTCGAACACCTTCAGAGAAGGAGGTGTTGCAAGAATTCTTGCCTCAACTTTTCCTTGGTGAAACAAGAGCAGCATATTCTAGAGAACAAACCCTCCAAGGGGATGCTCAGACAATGCTGCAGCAGTTGCTGCAGTGGAAGATCATTTGGTGCCCCAGTTTTGGTCTGAAACCTACCGCAGAGGTGCACACTGCCACCAGGTACAGACCTGTGCTGAGTGTCAGGAAAGCAAAGTCAAAGCAGGAGGACACGTGTCCTTCATGGGAGTTGTAGCCATGCAGCAATTCACAGCTGGTGCTTTCACAGAGCTGATGGGCTGTGTCCCTGGCCCGGCAGAGAGTAACTTTTGGGAAATAAGTCCTGACAGCAAAGGAGCAACTGCTTCAGTTTTATTTATCTATAAAAATACCCAAACTTTAAAAACCCAGAGACTAAAGCAGCACCAGGGTAAGTGCAGCAGCCTATGGTATGGGCAGAAAAATGGAGTCAGCAGTGACACTTCCTCAGAGAGCTGTTTTAATTGATTCCATATGGATCTTTAGAGCTACCTTGGATGGTCTTGGGCACTTTATTTCTATCTATGTCTCCACAGAGGAACCTCACTATTTCTTCCACCTACCTACTTCTCTGCTGTTCTTGTGTCGGGCCTGCTCAGCTGCCCCCCACTGCTAGCACGGGGCTACCAGCCTCTGCTTCCGGATGCACTCCCAGATCCACTTGGGAGACACACGCTTAGCACCAGGATTGTCATCGATGTCCCCTATAACGTGGGTTGCTGAGGCTGTGTCAGACTCTGTCACAAGGTCCCCATCGTATGCTATAAAGTACCGCTGGATTTTGTCAAAGTCCTTCACAGAGGGCGATAGGTAGAGCTTCACACCAGTGAATATGTCCAGCAGTATCTGCAGATGGTGAGAGAGAAGCAGAGGTTGGAAAAGCCATTAAACTGGTCTGGAAATGACACTACAGGTCTTTGAAGGCATGAGCGAGTCTATCTGCAGTTCCCACGGTTCTCATTCTAATCCCACACCTAATAACGGGACTGCTGTTAAATCGTCCACAGGAGCAGCACCCACATGGTTCCTCTGCAAGCCAGATGTTCCAGCTGAACAGCACTGTCCCAGCTAAAGAGAATTATTATCCCATTACTCCCTGTAGTGCTGATGCTGATGTGGTCCAGTAAACATGATCTTAATGTCTCTGTCTTTACAAGCTGATGCTTCTTAGTTAAAGTAGGAGAACGTAACAACCCCGGGGGGAGAACTTGCTTTTTATATCAAAATAACTGCTCCAGGCTCATCATGGAATTTACAGCTCAGTGACTTTATTCCACTCCCACAATTTGCTGCACAATGGGCTAGAAAGGACAGTTCTCTCCTCCACCTCCCAACTCCGTCGTACGCATCAGTCAGGAAAAGCAGCCACTCAGCAGTCTCACTGCTTCGCAGAGCAGGACATTGTCAGTGGGTGAGGAGAACATTGGCCTTTAGCATGACAAACCCAGTTGCATCAGCTCTGCAGCCAGCAGAGCTCAGCCATCTGCTGCCTTTACCAGGGGACATGCTTTTTCTGCCTTTACGTGTCATTTTAACTTAGGGTGCTGCTGTAGGAGGATTTCCAGCTTTCCTGATGGAAGGCAAAAGTGAAGAGACAACCAAAGGTGCCTCAGCTCCTTCCCACCCAAAGTGGCTGCTGCCCAGCTGACCATACCTTTTTGCCATTGTCTTCCATCTCAGATGCTTTCCTCTTCTCACCTCGTTTCTCTTCCGATTTTTGAGGGGATCCAATGACTGCTTTGCTCTCTAGAAACAAAAACCTTGTCTCATTTGTGCTCTGTCCAGATACAGTGCATTAAAAGGGGGGGATGAATGAAGGAGAGGAAAAGGAAAAAGTTCCCCCCCTGCTGCCCTTTCTGGAAAACCTGTGTATTAGAATGTAACTAAGTAAAGCCTTTGTACTGCAAATGGTGTGGGGCATGGTCCTGCCCTCATGGAGCTGCTGAGCGTCCCTCCTGGCTGGCACTGCACTGCCTCAGTTCCTCCCCAGTGACAAAGTGCTGGTGAGGCAAACTCATGTCACAGCTCTGCAATTTGGAAATCCCCTGCCTCCAGGTGCCCTGTTACATGCATGAACTTCAGGCAATAAAACTAAACACTGGTTCACGGCCAAAACCCATCTAACCAGAGAGCATGAGATCTGCAGGAACAGGAGCAGCAGGTCTGCTGTTCAGATCAGTCTTACACCTTCTGCTAAGGACCTTGAGCTAGTCAACATTAAAGGGAGGGATTGAGCCCCAGAGGAATCACTCCAAAGCAGTTTTGGTATGAATTATAACAGACTGCTAGGTTCAAGATACCCACTTCAAGCAGCATATAATCCCAGAGAGCTTTTATTGTCCAACCCTAAACAGCATCGTCAGTGCTTTTCCCATCTTTTCTCACTCCCAGCTCAGAGCTGTGGCTGCTCAGTCTGTGCTCAAGCAACACAGGCCAAACATAAAAAGGACATGGAGCTGTTGGAACAAGTCCAGAGGAGGCCACGAGGATGCTCAGGGACTGGAGCACCTCCTGTATGAAGATAGGCTGAGAGAGTTGGGGCTGTTCAGCCTGGAGAAGAGAAGGCTGCGTGGAGACCTCATAGCAGCCTTCCAGTATCTGAAGGGGGCCTATAGGGATGCTGGGGAGGGACTCTTCATTAGGGACTGTAGTGACAGGACAAGGAGTAACGGGTTCAAACTGAAACAGGGGAAGTTTAGATTGGATATAAGGAGGAAGTTCTTTCCTGTTAGGGTGCCGAGGCACTGGAATGGGTTGCCCAGGGAGGTTGTGAATGCTCCATCCCTGGTGGTGTTCAAGGCCAGGTTGGACAGAGCCTTTGGTGAGATGGTTTAGTGTGAGGTGTCCCTGCCCATGGCAGGGGGGTTGGAACTGGATGATCTCAAGGTCCTTTCCAACCCAAACCATTCTATGATTCTATGTAAACACAGCTTTGCTCATGATCCCCGACATACACATGGAAGCTGCCACAGGATCTTCAAGCACCTGACAGAAGGCAAAGATCCAGTGCCAGCCTCTCCAAAGGCACAGAGCACACCCTGAGGTTCCTCTCCCAAAAGCACCATCTTACCTTCTGGCTTCTGGGCTTTTGCAGGTGACTTGTTTGGGGGAGTTTTAACAGTGCTGTGTGGTGTGGAAGACCTGGAATTTCCCTCGTTCTCTCCACTGCTGCCAGCCGTGGACTCGTCTTCCTCCCCAGCAGTAACATTGAAATCAGCCTTCTCTTTGGAGAGCTGGTACAGCTCCTGTCCCACCAGAAACAAAGCACTGCCTTTAACCACAGGGAAACCTCTGACATTAGATTAGAGCTGTAACGTGTGGTCTTCTCTAGTTTGTTTCCCCTGATGTGTTTGCTCAAATACTTTTTCTTCCTCTTTGTAGCCATTTTCTTGTCTACTCTGTCCAAGCTCTCTGCTTTCCACCCAGCTACTTGGCGTTAAGAGAAGCCACACTACCAAAAGCCACTCACATCTGCTACAGAGCAAGACAAACTACCTCTTCAGAGCCTGGCTCCTAGCCTGAGAAGGAACACCACTGCTCACACAAGAACAGTCTGTCTGAAGAACGTATTTTACCTTTCTCTCCTTCACCTGCATAGGGAGCCAGAATCCCTCCTTGCTTCAATGGCATAACAAGTGCTTGTGTCTGCTGCCAGGACCCCTGTGGGCAGCGTGAAGACAGCCCAAATGACAATAACTACGCTGAGACCTAAGACCAGAGCTCAGGAGCAGCTGGGGTGGCAGCAGGCCAGCCCGCTTCCCAGTGCGGGAGGTATGGAAGCTGCATGGGGTGGATGCAGTACAGGGGGCCTGGCTGCCTGCCACGTGGCCCCTGCGCCCTGGAACTTGGCCAGGTTCCCCCATGTCACTTCCCAGATGCCTCCCTCAATCTCAGCAATTCATGGGAGACCGAATGACCATAAACAAGAGAACAAAGGTCACCTCTCTCAGGAAGGAAATGCCTCACCATGAAGGCTGTTACAAGAGCTGATACAACCAGCTGCCAGCACTGACTTCCCTGAAAGTGCACAACACAACTCAAGAGACTCCAGAGGCCCCATGAAAGAATAAAATCCACACCAAAATAACCCCGCAAGCAGCCTGAGCCTAGATTAAACAGGTACCGGCCAGCAGACATCTTTACTGCATACTCTGCTATCCAGATCTGTTTTAGTCAGAACTTCTTCTCCAACACGTTGCAGACACGCTGCATGAACTCACCTTTAGCTGCTGGAGGTTGGTGGCTGTCTTCCAGTCTTTGTCATCTCGAATGCGGGTACAGCGAGGGAAGCGAATGGAGATCCCGTCTGCAGTGTGGGCTTCAGCTTTAGAGAACTCGGCCCCTGTGATCTCCCACACTGGGGCTTTCTAAACACAGGATTGAGGAAGCCGTGTCACATTCCTGTGCTCTCTCATGAACTAACTCGATGTGTCTGTATTCCTCTACCCCTGCCACAACCCCGCTTCCCCACCCCAGCACACAGTTCCATACCCACAGACTCACCTTGGTCACCTTCATTTGACAAACTTTTTTCAGTGGGTCAAAGAACCTCAACTAATGATAGAATTACAGAGTACTTTGGGTTGGAAAGACCTTAAAGCTCATCCAGTTCCAACCCCTGCCACGGGCAGGGACCCCTTCCACTAGAGCAGCTTGCTCCAAGCCCCTGTGTCCAACCTGGCCTTGAACACTGCCAGGGATGGGACAGCCACAGCTTCTGTGGGCACCCTGTGCCAGCGCCTCAGCACCCTCACAGGCACCAACTTCTTCCTTATATCTAAGCTAAATTTTCCCTGTTTAAGTTTTAACCCATTACCCCTTGTCCTATCACTACAGTCATAACACAGAATGCCAACTTCTAAACAGCAGCTTTTGTATCAGTCAGCCATACGTGGCACAAGGCATACTGATACATTCTGTAAACCAGCAACTTTTGGGGTACAGCTGTGCTTCAAATGTTCTAAGTCAGATTTTTCATGCCTCAAATTTAAAGGGAGTTCACTTCTGGAAGGGATTTAATGCATAAAAGTACCAGAAGTGCTGCAGGTACGATCTCTTCAGGGAGCTCTTAGCCTCAAATACACCTGCAAGATTCAGAAATAAACACTTAATTTCCTGTTCCAGCTATGAAGACTAATTGTAATAGAGACAGTTTGTACATTTAAATGAAGTGTAGCAATTGCTGCATCAGGGCTGGAAAACAGTTCAGTGACTGTGACTTACCTTTGGGTCTGGGACAATGAAGTCTGGGTAGTAGATTTTGTTAATTTTTAGCCACCTTGGAATTTTGCTGGGATCCTATTAACAAAAAGCACAAACCCAAAATGACAGCGTTTATGAGCATATATGGACCTACTTCTACAAAAGAAGGTGCCAAAAGATAACCCAGAAGTAGATTAGTCTATCACAGGTATTACATTGCTTTTGTATGGAGAAAATCTGTCAGCCTGCAGTGCAGGGTGCACTGATCTGCAGCAGTTTATCTTATGCAGAGAATCACACAGACTGTCTGCAGCAGCTCTTGATTACTGACATTCCATATGGGAATGATAACATTGGTGCTCCAACTGTCTTTCATATAAAACCACCCTTTTTTAAGATTCAAATGGTCTTCAGGGTGTCAAGTAAATACTAGAATTCAGCTGTTTATTTAAGTCTTCAAAAGTAAAGATTCCTCATTCACACCAAGTCTCAACTCCAAGGTGTCAGGTTGTCCAGCCACAAAGCAGCCTGACCTGCATTGCTCACCCGCAGCCCCATCTAGTGACTGTCTTCACCAATGCAATATGCACTAAAGGCAAAGGCACTTGCTCTGCTCCTCTCGATAAAACTCAGTCTTGGGAGGAAAACAGATGGTGTCTGGCTTCCCACTCAGTGCCTAATCTCAGGCAGTGCCTCATCTCGGGAGGTGGCTGCACCTACATCTCACTGCTGTCAGAGGGATTTATCTGCTTGACCACTAATCCAGCCTCTTCCCAGCAGAGCACTTGAGTTCCGCAGAAGCCAGCACCCAGGTGTAGCTCAGCAGGAAGGTGGCTTTTACAAGCCCTTTGCTGAGCAGTCCTTGATCACCTCCATGCCACAGCCCCACTCACCTTGCTGATCTTCACCATATCCAGCTCTGTTTGCAGACGTGCCAGGGTGGCATCATCGTGGCCACCAGAACATTTGGTCACAGTGCACCATTTCTCGCTCTTGGGATCATAGCAGCCCATGAGGAAGATGGACATCATCCCACCTGCAGGAGGGGAGAGCAGGGTGGTTCACAGCTTCTACAGGACATGCCACAGCTTTCCAAAAAGCAAAGTAATGAACCAAAACCCTTTTCCATCTTGGGGTGTCAAAGGACTGTGGGCTTGCGATGGCTTCACAGCATCAGCATAAGCCAACCCCAGACTTACCTTTACTGCCTTGTCCATAGAAAGCTCCCAGCACCACCAGGTCTGCTGTGTCAGCCATGGCACCCTCATTTAGGTAATCCTTCTTCACTTTCAGCCAGTGCCGTTTTCCTGGCTCATAATTGCCCTGGGCAGAACAGGGCAAGAACCCCCGGTCACAAAGATCATCTGGGGGACAGCTGTCTCCTCAAACAGCCCTTGGTTTTATCCAGCTTAACACTGCAAGAGCACAGCAGTGCTCACATCTATAAGGAGCAACTTGGATTGGATGTCAGCATCAGCAAGAACCCGGAGATTTCCAGGATGCTCAGCTTTGTGTGCTTCATCCACAGATCTGCCCGCTGTTACTCCCCAACTCCCGGCATACCCAGTGAAGAGTAAATATGAACCTGCCTTTATATCTTTCAGCACCAGTCCTTCCAGGCCCTCACGGATGACTCGGGTGATCATATCTGCCAGATCCGAAGCTTTCTGAAATGGAAAGGCATCAAGAGTGTCAAAGGGCTGTGGTCTTCAGGCTTTCTATGTGGAGCAGTGGTGCACTAAACCATGTTCTCTTTGCTGCTCATCCAGTAACTAATATGGGAGTATGTCCCAGGAAGAGAAGGGGTGGTTAGTTAAACGTACTCCTCAGAGATGAGGACACACATTGGTTGTGTCCCAGGTATGTCCTATGTCTGCAAGATGGGATTTTCTCAGCCTGCTTAATGCTCTATCCAGCTGCCTTGGTTCCTATCCTCTTTGCTTCTTCCCAAAATGCTTCCTCTGCCCCAAACGCCCAAGCATTCTCCACCAAAACCAAGATGCTACAGAAATCAGTAGC